CACGCACTCATGCAACCCCATACCATCAGAGATGCAGGCTTCTGAACCGAGCGCTGATTGACCTAATAAGTTGCAAATTGGTCCTCCAGCTGTTCCTTATATGTACATTTAACTTTTCCGGCCTCTTATTGCTACCTGTCCCAACTTTTTTGGAATGTGTAGCTCTCATGAAATCCAAAATGAGCCAATATTTGGCATGACATTTCAAAATGTCTCACTTTCAACATTTGATATGTTATCTATATTCCACTGTGAATAAAATATAAGTTTATGAGATTTGTAAATTATTCCATTCCTTTTTTACTCACAATTTGTACAGTGTCCCAACTTTTTTGGAATTGTGTTTGTATTATAAAATATGCTTGGGATAATAAGAATACATTTAACATAACAACCTTCTAAATCCTTCTTACTGATCTTCGGACACGAAGAATCTGCCATCAAGTAAATCAAGCAAATCAAGCAAATGAACAATATTTAGTTTTTATGTTTGTTCGTCTCATTTGATTTCACAACAGAATCCTTCAATTATTTTCAACATGCTTGCTAAATATCTTGTATTGAAAGCTACAGCAGTGCTAAGTATTTTATCTTTGCAGGCAATCGTTGCAGTTGCATTAGTTTAGGCTTAGACATTTCATATCGTATCAAGTCACACATGCTCAAACCAAATCACATTTATTATAATTTATTGCTGTAAAGAAGGGCATTGATGCAGTGCGATGGAGTTCGTCAGTCACAGCAGTAGTTAATGCCTTTTTAAATAAATGGAAAATTATTTGTTGCAAGAATCTGCTAATTTTATAAGCCAACCTCCATAAACACAATATAAAGGTCTGAAAATGCATTTCATGACTCCTTTGATTGTGATGTAAATATAAAAAATAACAAATTTCTGTGAGTCCATATAATCGAAATGCACAGGACTTCCAAAGTTGACACTTCAAAAACTACACAAAGTGAACAAGACAAAGCAAGCAGCTAAGCGAACAGAGACGTGCCAGAGTTTCACAATGCACTGATCATGCTGCAAATCATGCTGGCAACCTTTACCTCCATGAACTCATGAATCCATGCATGGCAGCTGGCCGGAACCAATGGTTTATGCTTCACCGTCTGCAGTTCAGTAGTAAAATGTAGTTGAGCAGTTATTTCACCCTGAAAGTAGTTAACTCATTTCTGTATTTGAAGAGTTCAGATGCAAAAGCCTCTAAGTGCTGTCTGAAATTGTCTTCTAAAATTAGCTTTTTTTCCTCAGGCTCCTATGTTTATGTTCAGTTATTTCTCTTTGATGGCAACGAAAAGAACCTATTCATTGCCATTAAAGTGAAATTACTGAACCTACACATAGGAGCCTGAGAAAAAAGCAAACATTTCAAACAGCACGTAGGGGCTTTTGCATCTGAACTCTTCTGAAATACATATGAAGAGTTTATTTGCACAAAAAAAAAAAGATAGATTAAATTTTCAAACATTTTTTTTGTTTGTTTTCATGTTTTTATTGTGCTGCATTTTTTTAGTTAATTTTCAACCTGATCAAAATAACCCAACTGCAGTTTGATTGAGATTAATTGGAATGCACAATGAAAAAACTACATTTTTGAAAATGGTTAAATGGTATCTGTTTTTGCAAATTAACTCTTCACATGTTCATATAAATATGTCAACAATCATATATCCCAACTGCACCTGACTCGTCATTGCTAAGGTTTTTGGCATCAGCATGACATCAGAGTAAGTTTGCATGCATCTCTCCGTGACTGAATCCTTCAATTATTTTCAACATGCTTGCTAAATATCTTGTATTGAAAGCTACAGCAGTGCTAAGTATTTTATCTTTGCAGGCAATCGTTGCAGTTGCATTAGTTTAGGCTTAGACATTTCATATCGTATCAAGTCACACATGCTCAAACCAAATCACATTTATTATAATTTATTGCTGTAAAGAAGGGCATTGATGCAGTGCGATGGAGTTCGTCAGTCACAGCAGTAGTTAATGCCTTTTTAAATAAATGGAAAATTATTTGTTGCAAGAATCTGCTAATTTTATAAGCCAACCTCCATAAACAAAATATAAAGGTCTGAAAATGCATTTCATGACTCCTTTGATTGTGATGTAAATATAAAAAATAACACATTTCTGTGAGTCCATATAATCGAAATGCACAGGACTTCCAAAGTTGACACTTCAAAAACTACACAAAGTGAACAAGACAAAGCAAGCAGCTAAGCGAACAGAGACGTGCCAGAGTTTCACAATGCACTGATCATGCTGCAAATCATGCTGGCAACCTTTACCTCCATGAACTCATGAATCCATGCATGGCAGCTGGCCGGAACCAATGGTTTATGCTTCACCGTCTGCAGTTCAGTAGTAAAATGTAGTTGAGCAGTTATTTCACCCTGAAAGTAGTTAACTCATTTCTGTATTTGAAGAGTTCAGATGCAAAAGCCTCTAAGTGCTGTCTGAAATTGTCTTCTAAAATTAGCTTTTTTTCCTCAGGCTCCTATGTTTATGTTCAGTTATTTCTCTTTGATGGCAACGAAAAGAACCTATTCATTGCCATTAAAGTGAAATTACTGAACCTACACATAGGAGCCTGAGAAAAAAGCAAACATTTCAAACAGCACGTAGGGGCTTTTGCATCTGAACTCTTCTGAAATACATATGAAGAGTTTATTTGCACAAAAAAAAAAAGATAGATTAAATTTTCAAACATTTTTTTTGTTTGTTTTCATGTTTTTATTGTGCTGCATTTTTTTAGTTAATTTTCAACCTGATCAAAATAACCCAACTGCAGTTTGATTGAGATTAATTGGAATGCACAATGAAAAAACTACATTTTTGAAAATGGTTAAATGGTATCTGTTTTTGCAAATTAACTCTTCACATGTTCATATAAATATGTCAACAATCATATATCCCAACTGCACCTGACTCGTCATTGCTAAGGTTTTTGGCATCAGCATGACATCAGAGTAAGTTTGCATGCATCTCTCCGTGACTGGCACAAAAAGGACCAAAATGAATCGATTTCTTTTTTCTTTTATTGTATGACTAATGAAGATAATCAAATTCTACAGGGCCATAACATTTAAGAAAGCAAACCTTTACAAAGACGATTTCCCAGTGTACAGTCCAGAATAAATCATACTTTGCCTCTGGACTTGTGCACATTGCTGACCGTTTATGCACATGTTCATCCTTCGAGTTAGTTGTTACTTCAACTTTTGCCAAGCACAAATGCAGTTTTTAAATTACAGTATGTGTTGGATTTCTTCAGTACATTGCAAAATCCAAATCCAAAATTAAACCACTTTTACAATCTGGTATGCATATGAAATGCTATAATCTCCCATAAAACAAATAAAGTAAAATTACAAGTTCTTAATCCATAACACAGGTCATCAGAAAAATACATTATTAGATGCAACAAAACAATCTAAATATATCTATTATTTGTTGTGTAAATAATATACTGAAAGATTCTTTTCAATCTATTTTTTTTTATTGCCACATTACCCTGTCTTTAAAATGGATTATTCCAGATCTGAACCACCCGTCTTTACATGCTTTCAGAATGACAAACAGTCATAAACAGCTAAATAGGGTGAACAGTTCGTAAATGACTTTTTACAATATATTGGAAACGACAGTGAGGAGGGGTGTGAAGCTAATTAATATGGTTCAAAGCTATCCTTGCATAGCACAAAGCTGACTACATAAATATTAAATGTGCCTATAATGTGCAAAATGCAGAACAAGAGGTTGGTACAAATAAAATGTTGCATCTTTAGAACAAGTATCATAATGGAATGTGTGTGTGTGTGTGTGTGTATATATATAGCATCAATGAACTCATAATTTTACCGCATTCACAAAAGTTTGGCTCCAACAACTTTTGCATACTGTTTCACACATATCCCAGAGTAAACTTTCAGTCTTTGCTCAAGCTGGCACAAACTCAGCAAACTCTAGATACTGTCAAAAAGGTCTTTGTGAAGATCAAAGTATAAAATAAAGAGGGATAACATGACATGTATCTGCATCACATAGTCCAGATAATGCGACAGAAAGTTCCTGATCCAGTGGCATACCCCAAAAACATCCGTTTCAAAATTTTGTGTATTCGTTATTTTGAAAAAGAAAAAAAAAAGTGCATTTTAAACACAAAGTAACAAATCGACAAAAACAGAAGAGTACTGCCAACTTATAAGAGCTTCTTATTCCAGGCATTCATAAACATACCAAGAAGAGCAACTCGAATTGATCAGAATGGTGTGCCTTTTATCACTTCCGTCACAAAAAAGCCCTTGCTAACCTATACTGCTACATCAAAGTAAAGTATGATACCCTGTCTTTAAAATGGATTATTCCAGATCTGAACCACCCGTCTTTACATGCTTTCAGAATGACAAACAGTCATAAACAGCTAAATAGGGTGAACAGTTCGTAAATGACTTTTTACAATATATTGGAAACGACAGTGAGGAGGGGTGTGAAGCTAATTAATATGGTTCAAAGCTATCCTTGCATAGCACAAAGCTGACTACATAAATATTAAATGTGCCTATAATGTGCAAAATGCAGAACAAGAGGTTGGTACAAATAAAATGTTGCATCTTTAGAACAAGTATCATAATGGAATGTGTGTGTGTGTGTGTGTATATATATAGCATCAATGAACTCATAATTTTACCGCATTCACAAAAGTTTGGCTCCAACAACTTTTGCATACTGTTTCACACATATCCCAGAGTAAACTTTCAGTCTTTGCTCAAGCTGGCACAAACTCCGCAAACTCTAGATACTGTCAAAAAGGTCTTTGTGAAGATCAAAGTATAAAATAAAGAGGGATAACATGACATGTATCTGCATCACATAGTCCAGATAATGCGACAGAAAGTTCCTGATCCAGTGGCATACCCCAAAAACATCCGTTTCAAAATTTTGTGTATTCGTTATTTTGAAAAAGAAAAAAAAAAGTGCATTTTAAACACAAAGTAACAAATCGACAAAAACAGAAGAGTACTGCCAACTTATAAGAGCTTCTTATTCCAGGCATTCATAAACATACCAAGAAGAGCAACTCGAATTGATCAGAATGGTGTGCCTTTTATCACTTCCGTCACAAAAAAGCCCTTGCTAACCTATACTGCTACATCAAAGTAAAGTATGATAATGTCAAAGTTCCTCATTTAAGAGAACTTATTTTTTTTTACTCTCAGTCCAAAAATAGAGAGGATACTCTTTGTAAGTTTGATTTCTTTTCAAGAGGAGCAACTGACATGCCACAAACATAAAAAAAATTGGCATTGTAATAGCACTACAAGACATATTTATATGTAGAACAGTGTATTCACATACATTGCTAATCGCTAGACATGTCTTCTTTTAGTTTTCATTAACGAGCAGTGACAAACATGTCTGTAATGGAATATACGTTCTATGGGCTGTGAAACAAAAGGCAGTGTGGCTGATACTTTCTTCAGTGATGTTTTTGAAAGGTTGCCCATCTAATAAAAAAAACAAGGAGAGCACCTTCTAAGAAAGTACAGTCTAAACTTGCAAATATATACAAGGCACTACTCTTGATTCGCTCCGACTTGTTCACTTTAATGCTAGCGAGTCGCAGCACAGAAGTGATAACCCTAGTGCCATCATTTTTATATCCCATGTGCGCTCGCCAAAAAGCATCTACTAAATTAAATAAAGAGTATTTTAATGCTAAATATAAAATTGCATTCCGACACCAAGACAGACGTTTACATTCTTTCTATGCACCAACTTTAGTCCCTCTTTAAAAACTGTTTACTAGATTTCACTTATATCAGCACACGCATAATCATCAAAAGGTAAATCAAAACTAGTGTCTAGTGGATCTAGAAAATCTAGACATAAATAAAATAAAATAAATATTCATATACCCGAATTTCCTCAATGATCTGCGCAAATCGAAACACAATGCACTCGCTCTCTCTCTGTCAAGCACTGAGTTTGTACCTTGTAGTTACATTTAGCAAAGCTCAAAATTAATATTGACATCTTTATAATATTTACATGAAAACAAAATAAATAGTACGCTTTATGATATACACATTAATCTTTTCTCTACACGTTTTATATCCATGAGTAAATGATTGTTTTTTTCCCCACTGAGACATGTTTTATTGCTGTTAATGTAATCCTAAGGTTAAATAACAGAAGATCCAGAACACAGGCTAAAGAGAGAAAACAGAGGAGCACATGACTGGTTAAATCAAGCTGTAAACTGGGTAATCTGCTGCACCCATGCAAAAATTGCTAATGTAATGCAAAAACATATTTTATGTTAAAAGAATCTTAAAAGAACAGTGCACCCCGTTTTTTAAATTTTATTTCACCCTCATGTTGTTTTAAACCTGTCTGCTGTTTTTTCTTCTGAAACACAAAAGTAGAAGATTCTTCAGAATGTTCACACATACATTAACACAATCAGCACATATGTCCAAAAACAAACAAACAAACAAAAAAAAGGCAATGAAAGCGCCATAAAAACTGCATACGACATCTATATTTCTATGTGGCAGGAGCTCATCAGAAGACTTGGAATAAAGTGCGTGATTTGCAAGGACTTCTTTTACTTTTACGCTGCGTGTTGTTGTTGACAGACATGGTCGCTAAAACTAAAGTAAAGCAAAGTGTCTCCTTTTGTGTTCAACAAGAGCATACAGGATTGGAACAACACGAGGGAGAGTATTTAATCAAAGACTTATTTTTTGTTTTTTTGGGGGGGTTAACTATTCTCTAAGGAAGGGAGTTTTAAACTATAATTCTATGTGCATTTGCAGAATAGCATTCTCTCAGGTCTGATATACTGTGTCTGTTTGTATATATATATAGTATGAGTTCCCTTCCAGTGCAGTGGTTTGTACATAATGCAGTCGCTCTCGTTATTATAGGAAGATACAGTATGTTACATATGTCGACACAAACTTGAAAGTGGGAGCTGGACTATCATTGAAACAAATCGTTTCGCTTCACTTCTTTTGTTATTGTTTAGAAACATAAGAAAGAAAAGAGAGAAAAACCGAGGAGATGGAATTAGTGTGGCTGCTGGGCGCCCTGTAATTTGGGTTTTTTATTCAAGTAAGTGGCCCAGTACACCAAGTTAAAGGTTCCGAAGAGCAGCGGGAAGGCTATTCTGGCGATCCTGTCGATCTTGCTCACGCTGTTGAAGGTCTTCTTGGCCTCGGGGGGTTTGGGTTTTGGCTCTTCCTTGGGCTCGGTTGGCAGAGGGGGGGCACTTTTAGCAATAGTTGCCAAACCAGGGTCTCTGGCAATGTTCGGAGCAAACGTCGTCGCCGTCGCGGCCGTGTAGGTGTTGTTCTTTTTCAGCAATGACTCCTTCTTCTTCTTTTGCTGTAAAGGAGGTCAACCGGAAAGATGTCATCAGCTCTTACTGTTGCGGGCATTGCTGATACCTAACTACAGCGTCATTGAGCGTCAAAAATGTGCTACAAATGAATAAAAGACTATATACAGATAAACTATCTTTAATGCTATAATGGTATTATAGATTATATTTGAATGAAAACAACTACCGTGCATGATCTTCTCACATTTATACGGCTTTGACCAGTGGATGTCGCTAGCGTAATTATTAGAAGAAAATGTCTCATTATTATGAAAAAATCAATCATTATGAGATACTAGGTCATTACGAGAAATGTTATCATTATGTGAAAACTTCCGATTTTTACAAGATACTAAATTAGATTAAAAAAAAATTACATTAACTCACAATTGTGAGATACCGAGTCAAAATTATAGTAAAGTTTCTCATTATTACTATAAAGTAAGTCATTACAATTCATTATGATGAGATGTTAGATCATAATACATAATTCATAATAATTGTCTCTAAATTTCACAACATTTAATTGTAATTGTGAGAAAGTTTCTCATTATTATGAAATACAAAGTCATAATTATCAAATGTTTCCTATTATTATAATAAACTGTATTAAGTTGATAAGTAATTTTCCTAATATAATATTATAAATGCTAATAGTAGGATAGGATTACTTTATTTGTTCCTAGGGAAATTTGTCTTGGACATAAGGGCTGCCACATACAAGAATACATAGAATTATAATATCAACACAACAACAACACACACACACACACACACACACACACACACACACACACACACACACACACACACACACACACACACACATTTTTCCTCTTTCAGATATAAATTTAGACTTGGGTGAAATTCTTTCTGAATGACCACATGCATATTTTAAAAAGGATTACTTTATTTATTTGTCCCTAGGGAAATTTGTCTTGGACATACAAGAATACATAGAATTATAACAACAACAACACACACACAAAAATACAACATAAGTGCCTTCAATACCTGCAACACCTTAATTTCACCCTCACCAGTAATAATAATAATAATAATAATAATAATAATAATAATAAACACAATACACTTGAGAGTGAGAAAATTATGACAATTTTAATTTTTATGAACAAATCTTTTATTGATCTATGACAAAAAAAAAAAGTCTCTTTTATTTGAAAACTGAAATGGCTTTACCTTTTCTGGCACCACACTTTTCCCATCCCAGGCGTAACCCCTCTTGGTGAAGTAGTTAACAGTGGCAAACTCAATGAGAGCCGAGAAGACAAATGCGTAGCAGACGGCGATGAACCAGTCCATGGCTGTGGCATAGGCCACCTTGGGCAGAGAGTTTCTCGCGCTGATACTCAGGGTGGTCATGGTAAGGACAGTGGTTACTCCTGCAGTGGACAAAGCATAAGAAAAGAGCTTGCGTTAAACAACTATATGTCAGGTTTTAATCAATCTGCCAGAAAACAAAATAGTGTTTAATAGTGCTGGGCCCCTTTTGTCTTCAGAACTGCCTTAACTTCTATTTTCGACAAGGTAACGGAAACATTCCTCAGAGATTTGGGTTCATATTTACATGCAACCCAGGCTCATTGGAAAAACGTGCTTCTAAATACATTTCTTCAACATCGTTATTACGTACCTTACTGCACGTTTCGTGGCAGTTTCAAAGCGAGTGGCGCTAAAACGCAGGTTCAATACGTGACCCTGGTTGATATAGGCACGGTTTGCTGAGTTTTTCTTACATTGCTTCAGGTACATATTGTGGATGTTCCTAATTCAACTATCCAAGGAGTGTTGCTAAACATTAACGCTCTATCGTGTTGAAAATATCCCCTACATCCAACCCTAAACCTGCCCGATAGTGTTAACAAATGCAAAACTGGTATACAAATGGATTTGTTGATGCAAACATGCTATTTTAACTTCCTTTTTTATTTTAAAGGGGTCATATGATGCTACATGCACTTTTACAAGTTGTTTGAACTGAAATGTGTGTTGGCAGTGTGTGTACACAACCACCCTGAAATGATACAAATTCACCCGGTGTTTTTTTTTAATCTACTAAAATATTTACTCCTTTCTCAAATCGAGCCGATCTCAGATGCCTGTCTTTGTGACGTCACACAGACAGGCCCCTCCCACGATAGTTTGATTGACAGTAGTGTTTCAGCACAGACTGGACTGGTGTCTTAGCTCCGCCCCTGAGTGAGCTGTCATCAGTCCACCATTGTTTCACCGCCGGAGCAGATGTAGACAAGAATGACTCCTAAGCGATTGAGGTGTTCTGTTGTTGGATGTTATAATGAACATAGCAGTCGTCGTTTACTCCCGACATCTGAGCCGCTGAAGACGCTGTGGATTACGTTTGTTTCTGAAGGGAATGCGCCCCCGATCTACCTAAATGCATCTATGTTCGCGCGAATCATTCATGATCCAGCTTCACCTCCAGAAGAAGTGAGTATAAGTTTTTTAATGAATCTTTGCAAATCGCCTTTCCTAATAATGTGCTAATTAGCAGGTTTCCCGATGAATACGGCTAAGGTAAACAGTCCCTCTGAGAGCGACTCGGAAGAGAGGGGAGGGGTCAGCAGAGCTCATTAACATTTAAAGAAAAATGCTACAAAACGGCTTGATCTGAAAAGAGCTGTTTTTGACAGGGTAAAAGGTGTTTTTTACACTACCATTGAGAAATTTTAACCAAACTATGTTACAGACTTTTCATTGAGACCCTAAAGAATCATATCAACTTGTGTAAAATGGGCATCCGATGACCCCCTTTAACGGATTTGAGCTGTTTTGTCGAACCGTAGTTTCACGGGGTGTTCTTGCATATGAAAACTCATGCATATGAAGCTGTATATGTGACGGCAACGTCCAAAAGTATCAGTTTTCAAATCTCGCAGAATTTTAAAATAGTTTTGAATTCATAACATAATGTCCCTCAAGTAATTATGCAAGAATTAGGCTAATTTAATCGAAACTGTGGACATGCAAATCATACTTTGTGTGAAAAGGAATAAAAGTTGTGGGAGTTTTACTGCCTCTAGTGTTCATTTCAACTGGAAACCGCAGCGATTCGTGTGTATAGGTACGTTTTTTGAGTTTCGCAGAAATGTAGGTACAGGCACGTATTTCCAATGAGTCTATGTTGTTTATATGACAGCATCTCGGTTGTAACGAGTAGTTATTTGAGTTACCCTTGCCTTTCTATCAGCTCAGAGTTTGGCCATTCTCCTCTGATCTCTGGCATCAGCAAGGCATTTTCTCCCACAGAACTGCAATTCACTGGATATTTTCTCTTTTCTGGACCATTCTCTGTAAACCCTAGAAGTGGTTGTGCATTCACAGTCACTTAAATCACCTTTCCCCCCCCCATTCTGATGCTCGGTTTCAACCTCTTGACCATGTTTACATGCCTAAATGCATTGAGTTGCTGCCATGCGATTGGCTGATTAGATATCTGAGTTAATATCTCCTGATATTTAAGGTATGCACTGTCTAAAATGGATATTAGTATGAAAGTGTTTCATGTAGCTACTGTATATCTGTTTTAGTCCTTAATCTATCCATATGTTGAAAATAATGTAATTTATGTAGCTGACAGCAAGTATCTACATTTAAGATTCACTCAAAGCTAAAATTACTGTAAATGTTGTATTAGAACGCTACATTAATTCAACAATGACTTCTTTACACATGCATGTCTTTCAGACGAACACTAGCCTATATTAAAATGCAAATGTGGATTTTAGTGAATCTTACCGCATCAATAAGAGCCTTCCAAAAGAATAACTGAAATTAAATACATGCTTCTATAAGAGCAATGGCCTCCACAGCCACCCGATTTCTATCCTCAGTATCTTTTAGTCTTCATTTCTGCTGTTCCATAGATGTTCTAAGAATTCATTAGCATACTCTGTCACCAATTCAATTCGGAGATAATTTATACCGACCTACATGAAGTACAAAGAGCTGCTGAGAGCTTTTTCTGTTTTGTGACCATGTTTTCTCAAAGAGAGCTCCTGTAATGAGACAAGATCTGCAGTAGACAATGTACTCAGTTCTCTAGACAGTGTTTCTATACATTTTAGAACACATTTTCAATGTGACGGCTGGCAAACATTTGTTAGTATGAATTATGTGTCCTGTTGGATGTAATTAAACTGAAATTGTAGTGCATATTTTATTAGTGTTATCTTTTCTGCCCAATACGTGCCTGAGCCTTCATCCTGAAGTCAGACTGATCCTCTTGGCAAACACTGATTCTCATCGCTTCATTAACTCTGTTTATTATCTGTTCTTAAGCTACAAAAGTAATACCAGAGAAAAGTAACCCCAAATTGCTGTTTGCTTTCACGTGACAAACATGTCAATAACGTATCTTCGTTACTTCAGTACTATTCATAATAAAAATAGCTAAATATTTAGGGCAGATTTTGCCGAAAGTGTCCATGTGAAACAATAATCTGATAGTTATTCCACATGCTGTAAAGATACTAATTAGCTCTAATTAGTTTAGTAAGCATGGTTATTAAAAATTTCCACTCATCTTTTTTAAATACTGAACATTTGTTAAGATGATCCGTATCTGTTCACAACATTTTCCTTGACACACACACACCAGCATAGGAGCCAAATGAAGGAACAATGAATAATGATATTGCAACAAAAGTGAAATCAACTCTCAAAGGTGTTCAGTAATGTTGTTAGGGAAAGAAAGCCTGTGGAGACTATAAATGATGGAGAAAAAAAAAGAGAGCTAATTTTCTTTTTGGCAAGTATGTAATATAGCAATAAAATGTCTATAAAATTATTAATCTTTCTTTTTTTCTTTCTTTCTTTTTGATCCACAAAGGAGGAGATGGGGGAGTGTTCGAGAAACATGCCTGAAATAATTATTTTTGCTTTTCTGTTTGGTGATGCTAATGAAAAAAAAACCCTGGAGAAGATTCTAGATGTTTTTTTTATTAATATATATATATATATATATATATATATATATATATATATATATATATATATATATATATATATATATATAGATA